AGGGGTGAACAAGCGGACTTGTCGGTATTGAGGGAGATGAGGTCGTCGATAGAAATGGAGGCGCAACAAGTCTCGGCTATGTTGATGACACCGGGGGTGGTCTCGTAGCGGTCCATCCATTGTTCGACTTCGAAGGGGGTGATTTTGACCATTTTGGCGGAGCGACTGTCACTGGGGCAAGTGATCTGTGTGGAAAGTATAATGTGGCTAGTTGGCGTGTTTATTCAATTATGCTTGGAGACTCGAATCCGTGTATACAGATGTCGGTTTATATAAAACCAAGTTATGGAGTCCATCTGGAGCCTTTGACATGAAGGGCGCGCCCTTTTTCGATAGTTCGATGTGTTTGACATCAAGCTGCACAGACCTGGTAGCATCAAGCTCATAGTTTCGCTTCCATGAAAACCTAGGGAAGCAGTCAATATATAGCCAAGACAGCGTTGCTCAACATGGAAGCACCCACAAGAGCGTAAACTTGTCCTTGGTGTTTCGACTCCAACATTCCCAATGCTCTGGCACTCAGGTACCGTCGTCCGCATCTTCAACAAGTGGAATTGGGAGTCCCCGCATGATCCGCGATAAACTTGGCCGAGCGCCATGTGCAAGTCGTGAAAGATGTAACCAATGGCAGTGAGCGGGGGACAGTATCTCCGCAAACTGAGCTGGGGAAGATGTGAACCCACACTTCCACCATGTCTCAGCTTGTACCGAGAAGAACCAATGAATTCGATGGAAAATCGTTGCATCGTCTCGCTGGTGGACCAAGGAAAGTCACAGCTCCGCTTTGTGGACGGCCTTCGTCATTGCTGCACTCAGTGTGTACTAACCCGCGCACACGGGCCGCGCCAACTTGGCTTACTGCTGCATCCATCAAGTCACGGCGATGTTCCAGGTCACGCAGAGTACACTCTCTTTCCGGCCACCGCTGTGGAATTTGGCTCCCGTCTTCTGTTGTTTGCTCCCGTCCAGTTTCATATTCCATCCTCATCACGACCTTTCTATGACTTTGGTTTCTGGACTTTGAATAGCTACTGATAAGTCAACAAGAGGCGCAGTGGTCAGCATCGCGTTATTGACTAGTAGTCTTGCCAGTCAACACGCGAATTATCGGGTGCTCGAGCCGTAGGGATTAGGTCGAGTCATCTGAGTTTGTTCGGAGGCTCAGGTTGGCCCACGTTGGGGACTTGGGATAGCCACGCGCATTAGCCTGGCGCGCCACCACCGATAGGTACTCTACTTACACAAGCTCACTTGGTCACCACCTATCATCTACCACCTCGAAGCACGCACGCCCACCGCGCCTGGTTGGAGTGCTTCGTCAACGACCCGACACCAACTTCTTCCCGAGTTCAGTCGAGCAACGACAACAGCTTTACCGTTTTACGAGAGGCCATCAACAGTGCCTTCACTCGAGGCCTGGGCTATATCCTACGATCATGGCGTTCGGGATACCCCGCGCGCTTGCGCTCGCTGCGTTATCATTATCATGCGTTGCGTCAGCCTACCAGAACTACACGTCCATCGATATGTTGCGAGCGCAAATGGAACTGATGGCCGATCGACCCAAAGACTGCCCTCCATGGTACGCTCCTTTTTCTTGCTCGTTTAAGTATCTGCCTAGGTGATGCTGATGATACTCTCTGGGTAGTTTCAACTGCAACCTTCCCATGTACTCGTGTGGTCAATTTGCATCATGTAGCGAGTACAGTGGCAAGTGTATCTGTCCCGATGGCTTTGGCGGCGACAACTGCTTAGAACCACGTACGTAAAACCCAATGATCATGGCCGTGTTCTTGTCCGGATGTGATGCTTAATTTTGTTATGGCTTCTCACAGTCTGCGGCTCACTTGCTCGAGGCCCCGATCGACTGGCCCGCAAGGGCAAATCTTGTGAATGTGACGATGGGTGGACAGGCATCAATTGCAATGTCTGCATGAACGATAATGTCTGCAACGCCTTTACCGAAACCGGGGATGGTGGCGTCTGCTATACCGGCGGCGAGGTCGTCAAGCAAAACTACCAGATCTGTGACGTTACAAACAAGGCTATTCGGAACCTTCTCGGAACCAAAGTTCCTCAGGTTACGTTTACCTGTAAGAAAGAAACCGGCGAATGCGACTTCCAGTGTAAGTTGGTTCTCTTACCTCTGGGCCCAAAACATGCCCGTCAACTAACATGTTTTCAGTCTGGGTCGAGGAACGCGAGTCCTTCATGTGCCACTTGAGAGAATGCGATTCGACTGCCAACTTTGACTTCGACAACGGAAAGAACACGACTTCATACAAATGCGAAAAGATTCAATGCGAGTGTATTCCGGATCGAATGCTATGCGGCGAACATGGCTCCGTTGACATTGGCGATTTCCTGTCCGAGCAAATCAAGGGCCCTGCGAGCTTCGAATGCACCCAGACCACCGGCGAAGCAAAGAAGTGTGCGTTTAAGGAGCCTGAGATGAACAATCTCATCAACGATGTATTCGGTGACCAAAGCATCCTTCTCACCTGCAGCGCTGGCGAGTGTCTCTATCACACCGAAGTACCTGGATACACGCCTACCGTTCCCAAGATCAACACGCCGCTTATTGCGGGTGTCATTGCCGCCTGTGGGCTTTTCCTGGTTGCCGTTATTCTGGGTACCTGGTACCTTTCCCGAAGAAAGTTCAACTATGGCCCGATTCACCTCGATGACTCGGACGATGAGGCCATCAAGCTTATGACCGACCACAAGCCCGCTTCTCTCTATTTTGAGAACGTTGTCTATAATTTGAACGGAAAGGAGATTCTGTCTGGAATTCAAGGCATGGCGCATCCGGGTGAGGTCACTGCTATCATGGGAGCTTCAGGGGCAGGAAAGACGACATTCTTGGATATCCTTGCCCGGAAGAATAAACGCGGCCAGGTGTCAGGAGATTTCTACATTAACGGTGAAAAGGTTAGCGATCCGGAGTACAAGAACGCCGTCGGCTTTGTCGATCAGGAGGACACCATGCTGCCAACCTTGACCGTACACGAAACCATTCTCAACAGCGCCCTTCTTCGCCTACCGAAAGACATGACACGCGCCGCAAAGGAACAAAGAGTGATTGAGGTCGAGAAGCAGTTAGGCATCTACCATATCCGGGACTCCCTTATTGGTTCAGATGAAGGCAAAGGACGTGGCATTTCTGGTGGAGAAAAGCGCAGAGTTGGCATCGCATGCGAGCTGGTCACCAGTCCTTCGATCCTGTTCCTCGATGAGCCCACCAGTGGTCTTGACGCTTACAATGCTTACAATGTTGTCGAATGCCTCGTTACTCTGGCGAAGACATACAAGAGAACCGTCATTTTCACCATCCATCAGCCAAGATCCAATATTGTCGCGCTGTTCGACCGGCTTATTTTGTTGGCACAAGGCAAGACCGTGTATTCTGGACCGCTGCACCAATGCCAGGAGTATTTCGACCAAATTGGCTACACTTGCCCTCCTGGATTCAACATCGCCGATTACCTGGTTGATTTGACCATGCACGCCGGATCAACTTCTTCTTACGATGATGGTACGCTGTCAGTGGATGGGGTTAGTGTGGGACCAAGCAGTACTAGAGCTGTCAAGTCAATCGCCAGCGTGTCTGGAGTTAGCATCGGTGATGACAGCTTGGTTGAATCTTCCTCTTCCCGCCCTAGGATTAAGCGTCGTGACTCGGTCAGACGTAGACAGGAGCGGGAGCTCTATACCAGGCGCAAGCAAGCCGTCGATACTGCTGCCTCCTCGGATGCTGGAGACGAGATTGGAGGTTACAAATTGCAAAAGCAGCCACCCGTTACTCCTTTGCGGAGCACAAACGATGACCTCCACGATCTCCCCCCTCTTGCTGCTACTGGCACCGATCTTGACGTTCTAGTTGAGTCATATGTCCATTCCGACATTGCTGCCAGTACCCATGAAGAAATTCACCAGGCAATCGCAGCTGCGGTAAACAGCAATGGTCAAAATTCCAACGGTTATGTTGCAGATGGTAACATCTACACGGGTACAATGGGCAAAGGCTATGCTCGTGTGGGCTTGTTCCGACAGTTCGTTATTCTGTCTCAGCGGACTTGGAAGAACCTGTACCGAAACCCGATGTTGATGTTGACTCATTACGCGATTGCAATTCTCTTGGCTGTCTTTGCCGGCTACTTGTTTTACGGCTTGACCTTGGACATTGCAGGCTTCCAGAACAGGCTTGGCCTCTTCTTCTTCGTCCTTGCCTTGTTCGGTTTCAGCACTCTCACAAGCTTGGGTGTTTTCTCTCAAGAGAGACTGCTGTTTGTACGCGAGAGAGCGAATGGCTACTATTCACCTGTCACCTATTTCGCCGCCAAAGTCCTGTTCGACATTGTTCCCCTGAGGATCATTCCACCCATCCTGCTTGGCGCAATCATCTACCCGATGACTGGTCTTGTCGCTGACTACCAGCGGTTTTTCGTCTTTATCCTGGTCTTGGTCCTCTTCAACCTGGCCGCCGCCGCTATCTGCCTGTTCATCGGCATCCTTTGTAAGGATGGAGGTGTGGCCAACCTGATTGGCAGCTTGGTTATGCTCTTCAGTCTTCTCTTTGCGGGTCTATTGCTCAACCACAACGCCATTCCGGCTGCGGCGCTCTGGCTTCAGTGGCTCTCCATCTTCCATTACGGCTTCGAGGCACTGATTGTCAACGAGGTTACTCAGCTCACTCTTGTTGACCACAAGTACGGTCTCGATATCACGGTTCCCGGCGCCACCATCTTGACCACTTTCGGTTTCGACAACTCAGCAATGTGGAGGGATATCATGAACCTAGGCCTCTTTGGCATGACCTTCATCATCCTTGCTTATGGTGCCATGCATATCCTTCTTGTTGAGAAGAGGTAACGAAATGCTAAAAGACCACATTAGACCACAGTTGCCGGTTAATATGAGCTGGAAGATGTAGCAACTGTTATTAGACCAGTGTGAATGACGGGTTGACTCTGATAGATCGATGTCTCACTGTCCCTTTTTTGTTTTTTTTCTCTTTGTGCACGAAGCTTTCTTGATGATGGACATGATGGAATGGTTTCTTGGAAATATTGGTTGACACTGGCGTATGGGATCATGGGCATCATTGTACTATTTAGGCAACAACTAAAGCGTGTTCTGAGAACGACCGTCTCAGAGAGATAGGGTATCGGAATGAAATACAGTGTTGTAAGTTCAATATGAGTGTTGTGATGGATGGGTGTCCTTGGCCGATCTGATTTTATTTGTACACAACACCCCCATATTGTACAAGGTTGCTCGATTCACTAATCGTATAAATCATTACGACAACGCAGCAAACCTTTGACTAATTGTACAACTTTGATAGGGCAGAGAAGGACGAAGGAGATATAGTAGAGTCCTTGCATCCCAACTACAACTTGCCGCCAGTCAACTCCTCGGCCACGTTCTTCTGCCTAACTGTCGTCTTTACGGCGGCTGAAGTGGTGGCAGTAACTCTGTCGTTGAAACCGCTGAACTCGTTTCGCAACTCTCTCATGCTAATGGGGTTCTTCTGCGAATCCCAAATGCTGCGGCCGCTTTCCCAGAGACCGGCGTTGTGGATCTTCTCGGTGAAGTGTTTGTTGACGTGCTCCTCCAGCTCCTTCTCGTCCACGATAAAGTTTTTGGAGGCCACGTACAGCTGGACGAGGGCGTCCCGGCGCGCCTCGCTCTTCATCGCCTCCTTCTCTGTATGTCTAATATACGCCTCCTCGGCCTTTTCGAACGCCTCCGGGTCCAGGGGCACGAATGTGTTCTTGGCCGTGCTTTCGCGAATCGTCGCGCGCGTGAACACCTCGTCCAGACGCTCCGGCGCCTGGGCCGCTCGCTTGTTCGCCAAGTAGCGCGCCTTGCTCTCCTTCGCCTGCTTCTGGTCGCGCTTCACCTTGCGCTGCCAGAGTCCCTGCAGACCGGCCTCGAGCGACTTGCGCCGGGCCTCGGCCATCTTGCGACGCCACGACTCTTGTTTCGACTTGGGCGGCAGACCAGCCAGCTCGGCGGCGGACTTGGGAGCGATACGATCGACATAGCCGGATTGGACCTTCTCCGGGACGCCCTTCTTTGGGAAAATGGAGCGGGGAATCGGGAGGTGGCCCTTGACGAAAGGGTGCCTAACCTCGGAAGACTGCGGCGGCTCGGGGACCTTGATGTAGTTGGGCGAATCGGGGGGGATCGAGACCGAGTCTCTAGCCGATCGGGTGGTGCTGAAAGATCGGGCGGCGATGGCGCGTGTTACTACGCTGGTGGCAGCGCATGTTGTGGTCGGGGAAGAAAGAATGAATTGCACGCCGCTGAGCGACGGCCTGGCAAGAGTTGGCGCCATTTTTGAGGTGGAGGGTTGGCTGAAGACGGGGTGAGCGGGATGGGGTCGGAGTTGGGAGACTTCTGGCCGGGCCGTGATATGCGGAGGTTTCGTGCGACGGAGGGAACGGACCAGGCGGGTGCAGCGGCCTCTCGCTCTCCTAGGTTCGGCTCGGGATCGTGGGACACGCCGCGGTACGAGGGGGCTTTCAACTCCGTCGAAATTCTGAAAGCTCGGGGGGGCAGAACGGCGCTAGAGTGCTCTTGGTGCTAGCTTTGCTTGTCGCGGGCGTTCTGCCGTTGCACACCGCTAAACTTTTTGTACATGGGGATCTTTGAGCGGCCTCCACACCCCGCCAAAAAAAAAAAAAAAACTGACAAAACTTTCGCCGGGACCAGTCGCAGAGTTGCATTTCCTCCTTCTCATTCCTTCCTCGCTTCCCTCTCCTCTTTTCTTCTTCCCCAGTCCATTCATCCTCTCGATTCTCACGCAACACCCTCTGCGATATCTGATACCCCATAGCCTCGTTTCTAGCCTTTTACCCGTTCTTCCCTATTTTGTGTACTTCTTCTTACAAGTCAATCTCAATCTCCCCCCTTACTCACGGATACCCCCAGCCGCTCTCGCAGGCGAGAACGAAATTCTTTCACATCTGCATCCTCTACCCACTAACCTACTCGGAAATTTGGCATTGAGTGACATCTGCCAAAATGGGAACAGGAAAGAAGGAAAAATCTCGCATTCAGCGACAGGGCAAGGTGACGGGTGATCCAAAGGTCAAGGGCGAGAACTTCTACCGGAGCGCAAAGAAGATCAAGGCCTTGAACGTGCTTAAGGAGGGAAAGGCCATCCGCAACAAGGAGGGCAAGGTCGTCAAGGCCGCGTCGTATCAGAGCAGAGATGTTCCCACAGCCGTCATCGAGCCGAACCGGAGATGGTTCAACAACACCAGAGTCATTTCGCAAGATACGTTGACATCTTTCCGGGAGGCGATTGCCGAGAAGGACAAGGATCCTTACTGTACGTTTACTCCTTCTGTCACTTGTCCGGCCGACCAAGACTAACGCGCCTTGTCTTGTAGCGGTGCTGTTGAAGAGCAACAAGCTCCCCATGAGCTTGATCAGAGATGGACCCAAGGATGCGTTAAAGAAGCACCAAGCCAAGATGACGATTGAGAGCGAGCCGTTTTCACAGACCTTTGGCCCCAAGGCCCAAAGGAAAAGGCCAAAACTCAGCTTCAACACGATCGGTGACTTGACAGAACACAGCGAGAAGAGCATGGATACGTACCAGGCCAGACTCGAGGAGATCAAGCTCCTAAGTGGTGCTTCTGGATATGGCGGTGGTCTTGCCGACGACGATGTTCAAGAGGAGGATTTCAGTGTCGCGACGGCCAAGGAGGCTATCTTCACAAAGGGCCAGTCGAAGCGTATTTGGAACGAACTGTGTAAGTCCTTCTGTGTTTCGGGACTTGTGACTTCGGGTTGCTAACCATCATATAGACAAGGTCATTGATTCGTCAGATGTCATCCTGCACGTTATCGATGCCAGAGATCCTCTGGGAACCAGGTGTCGTCACGTTGAGAAATACCTTGCCACTGAGGCTCCTCACAAACATCTTATTTTCGTGTTGAACAAGATCGATCTTGTTCCTTCCAAGACTGCTGTAAGTTTAGACCATTATTGGCTTTCGCTCCTTCTGCTCGAATCTCTCGACTTGCCTCGCGCAAATTTTGAGGTTCCCAGGGATTTTGTCAGGATCTTTCCCGCATTTGGTTGCGCTTCATTGGGATTGGTCTGTTACATCGCTGGGAGATTAATATCCACCTCCCAACCTCCTTGGTCCCGTCTTGGGATTGGGGATTTGATGGACTCCGTTTTGGAGGACTTCACGGGATACCGGACGTGTTTCGTTTGAGTTGAATTCCACCCTGCCTTTGAGCAGACTCTACCATGGTGGTCTTCTTAGTTATGATTCACACATTCTTCACATTATACATATATGTTATAGGCTTCAACGAGTTGAGGACTAACTGAAAACAATAGGCCGCGTGGATTCGCGTTCTGCAGAAGGATCATCCCACATGTGCTATGAGATCTAGCATCAAGAACCCCTTCGGTCGTGGTTCTTTGATCGATCTTCTCAGACAGTTCAGTATCCTGCACAAGGACAGGAAACAGATCAGCGTCGGTCTTGTTGGCTACCCCAACGTCGGCAAGTCGAGTATTATCAATGCCCTTCGTGGTAAGCCCGTTGCTAAGGTCGCCCCTATTCCCGGAGAGACCAAGGTGTGGCAGTACGTCACTTTGATGAGGAGGATCTACCTCATCGACTGCCCTGGTATTGTTCCTCCCAACCAGAACGATACGCCGCAGGATCTCCTGCTCCGTGGTGTTGTACGTGTAGAAAACGTCGATAACCCGGAGCAATACATCCCTGCGGTACTGAACAAAGTCAAACCTCACCACATGGAGAGGACATATGAGCTCAAGGGCTGGAAGGACCATATCCATTTCCTTGAGATGCTTGCTAGGAAGGGCGGCAGACTTCTCAAGGGTGGTGAGCCTGACGTTGATGGTGTCGCGAAGATGGTTCTCAATGACTTCATGCGAGGCAAGATTCCTTGGTTCACGCCTGCCCCCGAAAAGGAGGAGGGTGAGACTGATACCATGGAGGGTCGCGAAGGACGCTACGGTGAAATGTCCAAGAAGCGGAAACGTGACGAGGACGACAGCGCGCCTGCTACCACTCCCGCTTCAGCAGGAGAGGATGCCAAGGAGGAAGACTCTAACTTTGCCGGGTTCGACAGTGACAGCGACTCTGAGGTCGAAGAGGCTGCTGAGGAGAAGGGTGAGGAGAAGGGTGAGGAGAAGAGCACTGCTGAAGATATGATACCCCTGGACGCGTCGAGCGATGAGGAAGAGGATGACGAGGAGGAGGGCTCTGACGTCGAAGATGGCGAGGAAGGATCCGACCTCGACATCGAAGGAGCCAGCGAACTCGAAGAGTCCGAGTCAGAAGCCGAGGCTGCGCCAGCACCTCCGAAGAAGCAAAGGAGGAGCAGGAAGTAAACTCGGTCAGTGAAGGCGATGGGCGGCTGGAGTGAACCGAGCATGCGTTCAATAGCCGACCTCAGGGTCGGTAACGATCCAACCGGATCATGACGGCCGGTGTCACTGACAATAAACTGTTGAGGACTTGGGCATAACCTCAGTATGGCGTTTGTTGCCCGTCGATTTTCATCCCCACCTGCCGTCTTCTATGTGATTCAAGAAAGTTGTGATACTCGTCTATCATTTGTACTTGTTTCTGGAGTTCTGTATGCATGTTCTTCGTGGCATTCTTAGGTTTGGGAGGACATGCGAACGGCTGTTGCATAAAAAAAGCTTAGTAGCTCCTCTCTCCTCATAGTTATCCCTCCGCTGGAAATGTCATGAATGCTCTTGCCTAGGATTTCACCACAAGCGATCTCGTTATGAAGAAGAATACAAGTTCTGATACCCGTGTGCTCAAATCAAGATCATTTCACTTTGCCATGCCCGCATATTATGTGGTCGTAATTGTACCCTGAACGGTCTAGGTAGCGCAAGAAACCTGGCCCTCTCTTCACATGTCAACTCGACTTCAGCATACCTCTACCTGGTGTTTACGAGACATCTCCTCAGTTCAAACATCCTTAATGAGTCACTGAGCAGGGTAAATCTAATATTATCAGAATGAAGTTGGATCACTTGTTTTCGGATTAAGGGTTTTTCCTAACGCACAAGTACAAAGCAACCGACAGGAGCGCTTCTAGCCCAGATGAGTGCACACAGTACATAGCAAAGGATCCAGAACGCCACATTTTCAATCTCCATCCAACCCCCAATCTTCACGGGGTTAATGTTGAAGTATACCATTTTGCCGTATTCCAGACGATGGGTACCAGCAACGCTATCCCCGCCTGTGAAAAGGACATATGACAAGTGATGACATTCCCTTGAACTCTGTCTAGAAATCGCCTGCGACAATCATGAAAGATCTAGACCGTCAACAAGACCCTTGTGGCTCTCTTGTTTGTGAAGACGATACATATCGGAGGTATAGATGATTTATATCTAGTGCGACAATCTGATACTGACAACATGACATCAGGCGGGCAAGGGCAGTTAGTTCCATATCACCACTTTTACAGGACCTGAGTAAGGGTATAAACGTTGACGAAATTGGTCCTTCTACTCCGGTTGATTGTTGCACTTGCACGGGCACGGGGCGAACACGAATTCAATTTGTCAACCTCTAAAAATTCATCTGGTGATCAGTTCCCTCGGTTATGGTAGTCTGTGATGTATGCTTAGTGTGGCGTGGAACTTCCGTATTGGATGTTATGGGGCCAGACTGGGTATATCAATAATACCTATTGATGTGCTCTTCGGTCCACTGTCCTCGTTGTGGAACCATTGGTTTGTTTGGAAAGGGAACGGGCAACTCCCAAGATTTGGAATTTTATGAAACGTCGGGGCAGTGAGAGGAGTACTTGTTGGAGAGGGGTCCAGGCTCCTGTCGGGTCTCCAACTCTGGACCCCTCTCCAACAAGTAGTGTAGAGACGGGGCATTGTGATTTGTAAGGTTGCGTGGTGCAATAGTGCCCCTCGTTGAAGTACATAGTAGACCATGAGCTGCAGCCATCAACACAGGTAGAGATAAGGTAGGTAGCTACCCCTAACTGCATTGCTTACTCTACCCATGCCCCGCTCACGACTCCTCCCCAGTCATGAAGGTAGTCCCCAGTCGATGGCATCATCGCAGCGGCATCGTCGACCATTGCTCGTTGGTTCTTGACCAATTCCATAGGTACCACACAATTCCAAATTCATTCGGCTGCATATCATTGTCTCCTCCCATGCGTCTAAATGTTCATCTTAAAAAGACAGTCGTCCACTTCTCAGAACTTCCACACAACTTCAACACCATTATTGTTCAGACTCCCATTTGACCACTTGTAGTGATTTATTGATTCCTCCACCCTTTACGCTATCCCACAACCCAAGCCGCACCTTAACCAGTTCCACGATGGCTCTTCCTCCAAAGTTCGCCGGCCACCGTTTCATCCCCACCGAGGGAGCCGGTGCTAGCTCTTTTCCTACCCAGCCACTCCACACCGTCGAGATCTTTCTCGACTACGTTTGTCCTTTCTCAGCTAGTAAGTCACATTCCCCAACCCAAACCATCCATTCATCCTTCCATACATGCTCTTCCAAAAAAGCAATCACATGAATAACACGATTCACCATCCTAAACGACAGAAATCTACAACACCCTTCACACCACCCTCCTCCCGTCTCTCCGCTCCGAGCACGCCGACCTCGGCTCAAAATTCCAATTTATCTTTCGCCACCAAATCCAACCCTGGCACCCTTCCTCCACCCTAACCCACGAAGCCGGGCTCGCCGTACAACGTCTAGCCCCCACCAAATTCTGGGACTTCAGCGCTGCTCTGTTCAAAGACCAGAAGGCTTATTTCGACGTTTCACTGGTGAACGAGACGCGGAATGAGACCTATAAGCGGTTGGCGAAGTTAGCTTCCCAAAGCGCGGGGGTTGATGAGAGGGAGTTGTATGAGTTGTTGGCTATCCCGACGGAGAAGGGGGATGATGGAAGTTTAAATGTGGGCAATGCCGTGACGAATGATCTGAAGACAGTGATCAAGATGGCGAGATTGGTGGGCGTGCATGTGAGTCCTACGGTTATTTTCGATGGGGTGGTGGCAGGGGAGGTTAGTTCTAGCTGGACCCTGGAGCAGTGGTTGGAGTATCTGAGGAAGAGTGTTGCTTGAGGGGCTGAAATTCTGTGAGGGAAAGGGGATGGTAAGCTGCAGGTGAGTTATGAGTCAATGATCAGGAATACAGGATGGGTTACACCGGAGCATTTGGCATCTTAGAACTAATGGACGGATGCATGACAGTCTTCCCTACCCAACAAGAACTTGGAATGGAATACGTTGTTTGAGAGGTGACCCGTGACAAGCGAGAACGCATGGTGCCTGAAGAGAAAGACATACGCTCAATCAATCAGTGGACGCAACACATATATCAAAGGTGTCACACAGAGTCCATGAAGCTTTTTTTGATCGGATATTGATCTCTTCTTCTACTTACGACTGATACCTACTTAACCTACAGAGCTTGCCTCGTTTATCTTCTCTAAAGTGCAAATATGCTGGGACCAAAGAAAGCCAACCAAGAAAACATCCCCGTTAAAAATTTGAGCAAATAAAGCCATAAAGCTTTCAAACAATGCACACTGATCACTGAATAACGAGGCACCTGGTGGTTAGTCAGCGCGAGCGTGAGTATATGGAGAGGATATTTTACATTGCAGGTGAGGTATAGAAAAAAGAAAATAAGCGTCTACCGGCCGGATTAACCCTTGCGTGGTTTAGAGTCTATCCTGCTTGCGACGCTCGTTTCTTGTCCTGCGCATGAGCTTCTTGTACTTCTTCTTCTTGATCTTCAGCTTCTTTTGCCTGCGCACGCTGATAGCATGCATGATCCCCTGCTGCTGGCGGGCTTCCTCATAGCGAATCTGGCGCAGGGCGAGGCGCTCCAGGAAGCTGCGCGGCTGCACAGCATCGTCCTCGACGAGTTGTGGGCTGTGCGCCATGATCTTGTACTGGCCGTTGGTATCCCTCGTCTCCTCAATCGTGACAACCGCCTTGTACACGCGCGTTTCCGGCTCCTGCTCGGCGGCGGCAATCTCCTCGGCGATAGCAGCAGAGGCTTCGGCCTCCGCAGCGGCCTCGTCAACCTCAGCGATGGGCTCCGGCGGCGGAGGAGGGTTGAAGGGAAGGAAGTGGCCGGACATGGAGTTTAGCTGAAAGTAGACATCGGACTCGGTGCCGTCGGGGTGCTTCAGGCTGATCTTGGTAGAGCCGTCTTCGACATCGTTATCGGAGAGCCTAAGCCCAGACATGGGCGACTCAAGATCGTGTACGGCCTGCGACAAGGTCGAAAGGACATCGGTCGCCTTGTGTCCCTTGCGGTGGTTGAAGATCTCGGCGAATGACTCCTCGGTCACGGTCTTGGGAAGAAGTTGAGTGACTGAAATCGGCCTGTGAAGGGCGAAGAACGTTGAAAGGGCGAGCGCTAGAACGTCTTGTTAGCGACTTGACTCTAAGCCTGTGCGACAAAAGGCGCGGATAAACAAACCCTCGTCCTTGATATGCCTGGTGCTGGGCACGCTGGGGAGTGGCGGCATGACCGGCTCCTTCGCCTTGCGCTTGCGCTTCTCTCCAGGAGTCTTGGAGGTGCCGGCGGCGGGCACAGAGGCGCGGGCAGCGAAGGCCCGGGAGGAACCGTCATCGGGGCTGGACGGCTTGGAGGAAGAGTATCGTCGCTTTTGCAGGGCATTGGGCTGATAGGACGAGAGTATATAGGAGGCGCCGGCGCGAGGGGCGGACGAGGCTGCCAGAGAGGAGACAACGGGCGACTGCGGCGCGGCAGCCACAACCCGTCGGACGGATTGGGGAATCATGACGGCGATAAAGACGAAGAATTCGATGTTGAGGTGTAAGAGTACTGAATCGCAGCTGATAGATATATGCCGCCTCCGACCGGCGCAAGTTCGCTTCGCAGACAGCGAGTCGAAGAGAGGGTGCAGCAACCGAACAACCGGAGGGAATGTGTTCGTGGGAGGGATCTGCAAATAGAAAAGGGTCAAACGGGGAGGTCAGATCAAGACAAGGCGCGACAGAACAATGGGCGGTGCTAAGGATGGTCACCGGCCCGAGTTTGCACTGGACGTCACGTTAAAGTGCCAAAAGTTCGACTGCCGTTTGGCTGAAAGGCTTTGTTGCCCCGTGCGCACTGCACCCACCTGCGCTAAAATCGATCGCCACCAACATGATAAGGCCCGGCATTAGCTAGGTAGCGAAGCAGAGTACGTACCCCGGCATCCACTGCCCTGTCACACGGTCACACCTGTCTCATCTCAGGTCCGTACCGTGACTGTAAGGATTGCAACCGTATGTAGGGCAACTGTATGGCCTAGATACAATGTATTGGAGAAGTCTGGCCTCCCAAGCACTATGGAGGTCCGGATCTAACTAAATATACAATACTAAGTATACACCCTGTACGTGCCCTTACCCTGTATTGTGAGTCGTACCTGCTATACCTATGTATGTGGGGTTCTGACAATCTGCCCCCCCAAAAAAAATGTGTTGCGCCCTCGTAAGCGTGAATAGTTACATTAAGCAAGTTCCCATTAATCATTGAATTTAGTATTCTAGCTTCGTTAATCTCTACGGCTCTTCGAATTTAATTTCGTTAATTCGTAAAGTCTTTAATATTAATACGCTTTTTCCTATCTTATTAATTCTTTAGTAGTTGTACGCTATTATCTCCTATTTGGTCTAACGTTTTTTATTCGTTATATTTTTAACCCAAATTATATTTTAATTTATAGATTAGTTTTCCCCTTATTTTCTTTTCGTTAATAATAATTTGAAAATAGTCTAACGATTTAATAGGTCCGATTTCCGGTAAGTGGTGGCTATAAGTATTAAAAGGCGCCAGTTCGAGATAATTTATTAAAATAATATTGTATATTTTCTAAGATTCGGGTAGGTTAAGTTTATATACGAGTCGTCCGACTCGTTCGTTAATTTTGAAAAGGCCTATATATTGGGTACTAAACTTCCTATTAGCTTCCGGTATTATATATCCTTTATAAAGACGGAGTAGGACTTTATTTTTAATATTGAAGAATATAGGTTATTTACATTTATTATAATAATATTTTGCTATAATTCCTACTAAAGTAATATTATTTTGGATTGAAATTTTGTAGGTTGGGAAATCAAAGTCTATAGGCCTATTTCCTTCCTTACCTACTATTATATCCAAGATGTAGTTCGGTGTAAAACCGAGGGCGGCCTTATTTGGGGATATGTTTATTGACAATGTAATAGAATTATTATACTTAAATTAAATTCTAGGTACGGTTTCTAACTATTATATTAAATTTTTAAGGTAATTGATGTAATACTATAATATTACCTATATAATTTAGATAATCCTCTTTATTTAGCTATTAGTTTAAGGATGATATACCGTTGAATATAGAAGTTTAATTCCTAAGGCTTACTATATTCCCTTCTAGAAAATTAAAACGAACTTCGGGTTACGGTTTAAAATAATAATTTTTGGAATCCCCCAATTAATTTTCAATAGATTATTAATAAACTTGTAAACCTATTAAACTACTATCTATATTAATTTCCCAGGTGTTAGTAGTAATTCCTTTATTAATTAGTCTACGCTAGCTATTATTGAATTATAACTTAATTCCCTATTAATTAGTAGTAATAGGATAAAATTAATATTGATAGTATAATATAGATAGAGCATTTAAATTAAAATAGGTTGTAAATTCCCATATAATTTATAGTATTATTTTTCGAATTTTAAATAATTAGGGTAAATTTTAAAGTATTATTTAAATTCGGATACGCCTCTAGGAATAAAGTATTACTAAAAATAATAATTTAAACGGTTATACCTAATATAATTTAATTTATAGAAGGTTTCGAATAATTGAGGTAAATATGAATTTCGCGGGACGTAAAGTTAGTTATGGGAATTTGGTTCTATTTTCTATAGAAGTCCGTTTTTCTATTCAAATAGTATTAATATTTTGTTTTTTAGAGCGAATTGTTGATTCTTGGTTAGGACTTGGGAAATTTTAATCTAATATAAATCTTAGCGATAGCTATCTTGGATCAACCTTTTAAATCCGGGGTCTATCTAATATAGAGTAACGTTTATTCCTAGTTATTCTAAATCCTAGTAGTCTATTTAGTATATTACCTAATATTTATTAAAGTTATTAGGCAATTTCTCCAAACTACCTTCGGTATTATTATTTTTATAGGGTAGGTTATTTATATAGTAGAATTTTAATAATATATTTAGGACTACATATTATTTACCGGACTTATAGATGATTTATATCAATTTATAGAATTGGCTGGCGTATTCCATCGCTTTAATCAGCTTTTTATTTCTAGCGTTAACTATTATTGAATTGGCAATATCGATTTACTTAAATAGTTTAATAATAGTTTTATAATTTATATAGATAATAGTTGGATTTATATTTAATATGTCAATCTATTTCCTATATTTTTATAAAATCTAAACGAAACTTAGGACTTCTATTTCCATTGGCTAGTATCAGCGTTTAGCTTTTATTAAAGTTTGAGATAAAAAGGCTATAGTTTAATAATATTTCTTTAACGGGAATAAATCGGGTTTAATTCAACCTTCTTATATTAGGTTCTAGAGTTTATAGTCTTTAATATAGTAGACTTCAACTCTAATTCTATATTCTAATACATTAAAACCAATAAATAATTTTCTAATTAATACATATAATTAGAATTTAATATTATTAGCGATTATACGCTTAATTTTATTAAATAAAGTAATCTCCCTTTCGGTAGGGTAGTCAATTATAATATTTAGTACCCATCTTTTTCTTTTTCCGGCTCAGCCGTCTTTATATACTTTATTAATCAATTCTATCTTTTATTACTCCAATAATTTAATAAGAATTCCAAATAAAGGGACGTTTTAGCAAAGATAGGTCGCTAAACCTATAAAGTAATCGAACTAAACTAAATTCCGAGGAAAATCGAATTTAGAAATAGCTTCTAACTTTTCGTCGGTAATTAATATTAAAAATCCATCGACGAATCTTCCTAATACTAGAGTACTAAGGAAGGTTACAAACATTTTCGAAGCGCCTATAAATACATTTCTTTATTAAAACACTTCTAGCACAGCTATCAAGTCCTTAATATACTCCTCGAGAATTTCGGACGAAACAACGACATTATTATAATATAATTCGGCAACTTTAACGTTTACTAACATTAAATTTATTTAGTATTAAACATATACATTTAATATCTTATATCCTATTACTGCACAATTGAAGGTAAATTGGCCTTCGGACGTAGTAATAGTAAGAACCTACTTTAATTCGGGATATATTCTCTATTAATAGTAAAACGCGATTGCATCTAAAACCGTAATAAATCTAACGTTTCTTACTACAATATTATTAAGGATCTGGTCTTACGTTTTTATCGGGTATGCGTTTTGCATTAACATCCTATTGAGGACTTTGATATCTACTACTATACAGCCCTTTCTAATTCCGTTTACGGTTCGTTATACTATAAATACAGGAAACATAAATAGGATTTAACGTATTGTCACGGCGAACAGAGGGAAGGAATGCGACGATGCGACAATGACCCTACTATTGAATGAAGATCGAAAGATGAAGAAGAAAGAAAGCTAAGATACAAAGATGGATTTGCAGTGCGAAGGATATAGATCCTGTGCGCTGCCAAGAGCCTTGTAGTGGGTCCGTCAGGGCCACTACACGAAATGACCAGAATGACCAGCGGCTGAGCCGCGCCGTCACACGTATCGTTCTTTATACTTTACCTATCTAAATTAACTTATCGAGAATCTCCTTAATAATTATACGACTATCGGGGCCCAAAGGGTAAATCCGACTATACTTCGGAATATAAATTTCCCAATCTAACTTAAATTAAATTCTTATTTATTCTTCTTTAAGAATATTAACGAAACCCTTATCCTTAAAAACATTACTATATTTATCTAATATCTCGCTTATAACTTTAATTATTCGTAGATTTAAATTCTTATAAATCCGGACACCTATCGAATATTCTACTACATTATACTAAGCATCTAAATTTAGGACATGTCTTTCTAGCCTATAATATACAAATACAACAGTAGTAGCAGCGTATTAATCTTCTACCTACCCTCCTTTATAAATTTCATCGGTTAATACTAAATAACCGAGAGTCTAACTTAGCTGGATAGAAATATAGTACGGAAATAGGTTAATTAACGATAGTTCTTTTAGCGGTCCGGTTATAAGTAATATATAAGTACTAAAGCCGTTCTAGTCTAGGATTTAGGATTCAAAAATATAATTTTAATTCTCATCGACGTCGATATAATATATATTAACGGGCGTAACTAACTTCGGAGGTAAACGGTATTTTATTAATGCAGTAATTTTAATATTATATTATTTATCGATTTTTATTTCTATAGGTATTATCGTATTATAAGAGGTAATAATAGCCTAATTTTTAGAGTTAAGAATATTAACGCCCTCCGGCCCTAGAATATTTATACCTATTAATATCTTTACTTTAAGGTTATAAATTAGAGCCACCTCTTATTTAAAGTAAACGAATACTTGATTATTATTTAAATTAATTCCTTATAAATAAATAGGAAGGTTAATATAATTATTCATACTATGTACGTTATTATTAATACCCCTAACTTTTAATAGCGTAGGTTATTAATAAATTTAAATTTAAAGGTAATTATATTTAATTTAATCCCTATTAACTAAGGATATTAAACAACCTATATTAGTATAAATATTATATTCAACGTTTGACTCCAAGT